GGGGAGGCAAGTTGGGGGGGAGGTGGAGGGGGGAGGCTGGGGGGGGAGGCAGCCACAGCCGATTCCCTGAAGAAGAAAGTGTGCGTGTGAGTCCTCCTTAGGGGTGGGTGGCGGCTCCCGGAATTCCCACGTGGAAGCCCTGACTGCCAGCAGGCTCCCCTATTTGAAATGGGTCTTTGCAAAGACTGAGCAACATGAGGCCATCAGCAGGGCCTGATCCGAGAGGACGGGGACTGTACGGACGGAAACGCACAGTCGAGGCAGAGGCCTGCAGGGAAACGGCCACAGGAGCGGGGGGCAAAGCCGGGCAGACCCTCCCTCCCGGCTCCACGAGGACCACCTGCCCCCCAGGCCCCAAGTCACGGCCCCCAGACACAGACACCCTGCCCCGGCCAGTGGCTCACCTCATGTAGGACGTGGGGGACAGGGGCTTGGGCTTTGCCCACTGGTATGGGTGCTGCGGCACCGCCAGGTACTGGTCGCAGAAGCCGCCCTTCCTGACGTGTTGGAAAGAGAAGTCTTCGGGCGTGAAGTCGGCCGGGGGTGGGGGGCTGCCCAGGTCCTCCCCGACGGGCTCCACCTTGAGTGCCACTGAGGGCGGCTGCTCCAGGGTGGTCTTGCGGGACTTGACAGGGACGCCGTCACCCAGGTCCAGGCTGCTGTCGGTGGTCAGCGCGTTGATGGCAGCCACGATGGCCGAGCTGGTGTACTGGGTGCTGTTGCCCAGCCACGAGTCGTCGGTCACGCTGACCCGCGGCGAGCCGTGCGGGGACGGCGTGGGTGAGCGGTGGGGCGAGCATGGCGGCTGCCGGCCGTTGAGGCTGTACTTCCGCTTGTTGCCGGGTGACGCGGGCCTGGAGGAGCGGGCGCCCAGCCAGCTCTCCTCGGTGACGCTGGCACGCGGGGAGGTGGAGGGCGAGTGCCGCGGGGAGCCCAGCAGCATGCAGGCCCCCAGCCCGCGGGGGAAGCCCTCCTCGGCGTCCGTGGTCTTGGGGGACACGCAGGGTGACTGCCACGGCGACGTCTGGGGCGACACGTAGGGGTAGGAGTAGTTGGACTCGTAGGAGGAGGCCTCGGAGTTGCAGCTGCGGGAGGACAGGCTGCTGGCCGGGCTCAGGCACGACGGGTCCCTGTAGGCCTCCAGGCCGGGCAGGCTCAGCGTGGCCGTGGATGGGGAGCGCTTGGAGCTGGGGAGGACGTCTTCCACATCCGCGTCGTGGAGAAACTGGCTGTTGCTGTGGTGTAGACCCAGGTACGAGGTGATCTCGATGCGCGGGCTCTCCAGGGCGGGGGCCCCGTTCGGCCTGACGTGGCTGGACGACAGGAAGTAGCCCGCAGGCCCGCCGTCCAGAGCCGCCCCGTACCCCGCGGGGTGCTCTGCCGGCAGGACGAGGCCCGGGGTGGAGGTCTGAAGGTCGTGGCACGGGGCCGGCAGGGAGGAGTGTGTTGTGGGCAGCCGCAGGGCAGGGCCGACGCTGGAGGGCGCGTAGCCATAGTGTTCTAGAGAGAAAAAGAAGCAGATGCTGGCATGAGGGGCTGGGCATCACAAAGCAGAAACCCACGGACCCAGGGCCACTCAGCAGCCCCAGGCGTCAGCCAACGGCCAGGGAGCCTCGGCCCTGGCAAACGTCCCTGAGACCCCACTGCCTGACGGCTCCAGGCGACTCCAAGTGACAGCCCCTGTCCCACCCGGCCAACAAGTCCCCATGAGCCCTCGCTGCTCACCCCCACCCCCTACAACAGCAGAGCCTCCGAATGTTCCTCCCAGAGAGACAGACGCGGCCGGGTCCTCATGGGCGTTGCTCTCCACTCCAAAACCAGCCTCTCCATGTAACACCCAACTCAACACTGGGCAGCCCTCCAGCTGACGTTTTCTCTGACGTGTGTCACAATCTCACGTTTTCACCCGTTCACCTCACACTCTTGACAACAGAAACCTCAGTTCCATGGGGCAGAGCATTTGGACTGCCTACTCTACTCCAGCTCACCACTGGCATTAGAGCCAAAGACTGTGCCTGGCACATCCTAAAATGTGTTCCTTTTGTTTAACGGATGGATGCTTGCTGGGTGGTGGACAACGGAAGGTGGACAGACAGGTAAAGAAGGATGGATAATGATGGATGGGGGGCGAAGGGTCGATGGAGGTGGATGGATGAACGGTGATGGATGAACAAGGGAGGAATGAGGGGTGAACAGATGGATTGTGGATGGGTGGACGGGTGGGTGGGTGGATGGGTGGATGGATGGAGGCATAATAAATGGTGGATGAATGAACGAATGGATGGATGATGATGGATGGATGGATGGGGAATGGAGGAATCATGGATGGATGGATGGGTAGATGGATGAAGGATGGATAGTGGGAGGGTGGGGGATGGAAGGATGATGCTGGATCATGGATGGAGATGGATAGGGGAGGGAGGGCTGACAGATGGGTGATGGATGGATGGATAATGAATAGAGAATGATGGATGATGGATGGATGATGAATGAATAAGATGATGGATGGGGATAGAGAGATGATGAACAGAGGTGAAGGAATGATGGATGGTTTTACGATGGGTAGATGGATGGATGGATGTGTGGATGGATGGAGAGAAGGATGTGTTTTAGATCTAAGGACCTAGATACGTAAAGAAATTTTAATAGGCTTGTTCCTGTCAAGGTGCCCTAATCACCAGCTACGTAGAAAACATCTCAAGGATTGGATGAAAACATAGACTCTGAAATCCTTCTCATGGAGATTCTGATACTGTCTCACGGCCTAGGAATCCATCTTTTAAAACAAAACAGAAGATTCCAGTACGCAGCTAGATCTAAGAATTATTATGTGTTAATTACGCTCAATAAAATATTTTTTAAAATCATTATGCGAGAAGTTAGTAATTTTAACAGGAAAGACGTGCTTCTGGATTTCTGATTGGAAACGACCTTTTACAACACCTCGGGGCCTTACGATGACACGCCTAGAGATGAGTATTCCCAGGCCTCTAAATAATACAAAGAAGTGCATGGAAATTCTATATCCATCTCCTGGTGTAAGTACACTGGCTTGAAGATATTTTATTCAAGGACACTGCTGCCTTTCCGCTAAGCCATGGTTCAGAAACCAACAAGGATAAACGCGAAAAAAACCTGGGGTCTCAAAACAGCAACTCAAACCCCAGAGGGCTTACTAACAGGTGTCGCCATAGCACCCAGATCGGCAGGGAACACGGCACGCCGCCTGTAAGAGGACACAACATGGCCTCGGCCCCAGGGTCACAGCTGCCTTCTGAAAATTCCAGACACTCGGGGGGCAGAGCCGTGACAAAGAGAAGGAAGCTGCGACGGCCACACCGCACAGGTGCGCGCAGAAGCCCTCGGGGTGCCAGGCGAGCCCTGCTCAGGATGTCTGTGTACAGGGAGGGCCCTTAGCCGAGACTCAGCGCCTTGGGGATGGTGCTGCCCAGGCCAAGTCCCGCCCTCCCCATCATAAAGAAACTCCCTCAAGGAGACAGGAGCCGTACAGTCTCCTCCGGCAGGAATAGTCAATCAAGGAAGTGGCCAGGCGCGGTGGCTCATGCCTACAATCCCAGAACTTTGGGAGGCCGAGGCAGGCGGGTCACCTGAGGTCGGGTGTTCGAGACCAGCCTGGGCAACAGGGTGAAATCTCGTCTCTACAAAAAAATACCAAAAGTTAGCCAGGCGTGGTGGCAGGTGCCTGTAGTGCCAGCTACTCTGGAGGCTGAGGCAGCAGGATCGCTTGAGCCTGGGAGGTGGAGGTTGCAGTGAGCTGAGATCGCACCATTGCACTCTACTCTGGGCGATACAGGAAGACCCTGTCTCAAAAATCAATACATGAATAAATAAATAAATTTAGGAGGCCTTTCTTTCCCCAGAGCCACTGGTGGGGACGGGGGGTGGAGCTGCAGCCAGGTGTCCTGACACCAAGGCCAGCATCCAGCCGGGCCTCTGGTAAGGACACACACAGCTTCCCCGAGGTGTTCCCCAGCCTGAGATGCCCGCTCTGGGGATGACGCCCCCACGTCCGCGGCATCCACCATGTCCCCAGGCTCCACACTCACAGGACACTTCAGGCCAAATGCTAGGATCCAACACTAAAACTCAGATGACCGTCCCTGTAAAAATGAGCCTGGAAAGTGGCTTCCTGGAGAAGGTGAGGCTTCCGAGGAAGCTCCAAGGCCTCGGACCTGCTGCTGACCCCTGAGGGGCTCCAGTCAGGCAAGCTGCAGTTCTCTGAGAGCTCTGCTGGGCGTCACGGTGGCTCCTCTGTGTCCTGTGCAAACCCTGAGCCAGCTGCATCAGATCCACTGGACAAGGCCACATGGCAGGTCCTCCTGTGCCTGGCGCCCCCCACATCTGAGTGCCTGTGCAGGCCAGTCCTGCCATCAGCCCAGTGCCCAGCGCTATGGGTGGCCCCGCAGCTAGGTGTGGGTAACCCCCATATAGGCACTGAGGAGTGAGAGCTAAGCAGAACCCTCAGGCCTACACTAGGGTCTCCTGGGAAGCGCAGGGATACAGCCAGATGGAGGCAGGGGGGGTAGGGACCCGCAAGGGGCTTTTGCCAAGTGCAGGCCTGTGGCTCCTGGGGTTCCAGACCGGCACCACACGGCCACCTGTTTGCTACTCTGCATTCTCACCGAACGTTGTCTGAAAGCCATACTTTAGCCAAAAATGCTTCCTTCCAGCTGCCCACGTTACAGACACACTTAGTGCTGGCCCCACTAACATGTCTAGAAGCCCGTTCTCCTGATGGGGCAGAAACATCACATTGCATTGGGAACCAGTCATCCACTCCAGGAGAGCCAACAGCACAACCCGTGAGCTGAGGGACACCCGGGCGGTGGGTCCCACCGCGGGGCCCAGCCTGGCTCCCATGGCCTGACTTCCTCCCGGAGGCATCCATGGCCTCCCGCCGTCTCTCCAGGCCCACCTGCTCCACATACTTCCCCTCACTGTCCAGACCTCGAAGCAGGCTTAACTGCAGGTGATGACTGTCCAGATGCCTACACTTCCTGTTCCCAATCAAAAGAATATTTATTTCGAAGACATAGCTGATCCCACAGTTGAACTACCGTGTGCTGAGAGGAAGGTAATTCTGAAGCACTGTTTAAACCCCTAGCAATGCACGGAGCAAGTCTTGGGGCCTCTCCGCACCCTCCCACCGGACTCAGCCCTGAACTGGGCTCCCGGCAGTGACGAAGCCCAGAGCTGGGCCCCATGGGGTACTACAGCCAATTACTGAAAGGTTCTAGATGAAACGGGCAAGGAAGGAGAGGCGGGCCTGACGGGTCTGTGTGTGCAGGTCCTCTGGGGCTGTGGGAGAAGGCCTGCACTGTGCGTGGCGACCGGCATGAGGGGAAGTGAGGAAGAGGAGGAGACTCCTGCAGCCAGAGCAGGAAGTGCAAGCCGCCAGCTCAGATGCCCGGGGCACCAGGGGGCCTTTACTGAGACTAAAGCATTGCAATAAAACCGGATTCAATGAAGCAGAGAAACACCATAAAGCCTTTATTGAAAAATGAAAAGGGCTCATCTAAGCATGAGTTTCCCCTAATTAAACAAATGACGAAAAGAAACCTCAAATGCCTGAATTCCATGAGGTTCCCTTGCCCCGGTCCCTGGAGGACTGGCCGTGGGTAGCTACCTCTCCTTCCTACAACGGGAGAAGGTGGGGGTCAAGCTGCCCCCAGAGGCCGAGTCCACCCACTGGGCCCGTGGCTGTGAGCCCCTCTCCCTCCCTGCCCCTCCTAGCTCCCAATGAATTTGGTTTTATGACCCACCTAAACCGTATTCAAATCTGAGTTATTTAACTATTCAAAGGGATCACATTTACATGGAAAGAAAATATTCCCAGTAACTTTCTTGACGATTCTGGCTTGGGCTGATTTGCGTCACGCCAGACGGTGGCTACAGAGCTCGGCGTCTGCACTCCCTGGCTGCTGGTGCCCAAGAGCCTGGTTCATTAAACTACAAACTACGGTGCAGGTGAGCAGGAGACAGAGCTGGATTCGAGACCACCCTCACGGAGGGCACATTCGAAATCCTTAACAGAGGGCAACAGCGCGGCCCCTCCAACATCGGCGCTGGCTCCCCACTTCCGAGTCCCCTGATCCTCACCGGCTCGCTCCGCCATTGGCAACCCCGACACACAGGTGGTTTCAGGGTGCTAGGACGGAGGCCCAAGCGGGGAGCAGGAGAAGTCCTGGGCCAGCCCAGGTGCACAAGTCCCATGCGTCAGACCCGGCAGAAGCGCTCTGCCTCACTCTGAGAAACAACTCACTTCAGAACCACACATCACTGTCATTTCTGAACAACCACAAAAAAACCGTATTGGGTCAACAAATTAATCCATGAAGTACCACGCTCAGGTCTCCCTACAGGGGGCAGAATTCTAACCTTGCAGACCCGCCCCGCTGGGGCTGGCACCTGCCCCTCACACCGCCACACGCTGCCCAGACAGCCGTTCACTCATCGCCGTGGGCGGGCAGGACAGCCAC